AAATATTTTTGTGTGTAAAGAGTATATGCAGATGGCAAATAAGCCCATGAAAAGAAGTTTCACATCATTCTTTATTCGGGAAATTCAAATTAAGGTCACAATGACATGTCACTGCACGTCTGTTAGGACAGCTAAAATAAAAGAAAATAGTGATAATACGAAATTCTGATGAGAATTATCTCAAGGGAAATGCTCTCATACGTGACCGGTGAGAATATGGACTGTTCCAGCCTCTCAGGATATAGTTCGGCAGTTTCTTAAATAACTAAAAATACATTTACATTATGACCCAGCAATTTCTCTCCTGAACATTTATCCTAGAGAAATGAAAACTTATGTACACACAAAAATTTGCATATGACTGTTCACAGCAGCTTTATTTTTAATAGCCCAAAACTCGATTCAACCCAAATGTGAGTAGGTGACTAGTTAAACTTACCTTGGGATGCCACTAAGCAATCAAGAGGCAATATTAAATTCCCAACGACCCAGAGGCATCTCAAGGTCATTATGCTGAGTGCAGGGCTGGGGAACCAATCTCAAAGGGTCATATTCTGTATGATCCCATTTACATAACATACAATGACAAAGTTACAGAGATGGAAGAGAGATTAGCGGTTGTCAAGTGTTAGGGCTGGTGGAGGAGGGAAAAGCGAATGCGATTATGAAGGAGTAAGTCGAGAGCAAGCTCCGCCGTGATGGGGTAGTTCTGTGTTTTGAATGTGGTGGTGGTTACACAAATCCACACGTGTGACGAAATGACATACTATAGACACACGTCATACTGACGTCGAATTACTGGTCTTGGTCTTGAACTACAGTTAGGTAAGATGTTCCCTTTGGGGAAAACTGAAGGGAACGTAAATCCTCGCAGTCCTGTCTTTGCAAGTTCCTGTGAATCTCTAATGACGTCAGAGCACAAATTCCAAGAGAGCGAAGTACGATTCTACATTTACGATGTTTAAAAATAGGCAAAAATGCATCTGTGATGGTAGAAGTCAAGAGTGGTTACTCTCAGTAGGGCAGTGTGTCAAGGGGGCAGGTGGGGGCTTCTGGGCACAGGTAACCTGTTTCTTGGTCTAGGTGCTTATTATTACATAGGTGTGTTCATGAAACTGAACACGTAATTTTTGAACTTTTCCCTGTGTTTGTCACATGCTAATCAAAAGTTGTAATGAATGAAATGGGGGAGGGGGGCTGTTCGGTTTCCTGTGGGATTCCCCACGGAAGGCTGTGTGAGAGAGGTTTCCCCTGCAGAGGGGGCCAGGAGGCAGATGCACGGAGGGAAGCATCCTCCTTACTGCTTTATACTCATCAGGCATTTGAATTAAAATCAGTGCATACTATAGAGCCTGTGCACTGTCTCTACCCAATGACCTTGCTGGCCCTGCACTTGCCTCTTGGCCTTGGGCTGTCTCCTGTGACATCGCCTCCTACGTTGCGAGGATGGAGTCTTGGCCTTGGGCTGTCTCCTGTGACATCGCCTCCTACGTTGCGAGGAAGGTTAGAGTCAGCCTCTAACTGGCCAGAGTCGAGACAGCTGTCACTGTATGCAGTGCATCATTTCATCAGTCCCTGTGGCTTTTCTGGATTTCCTGGAATGGGGGCGCTGCGGGGCCCCTCCCTGGGCAGAGTGGCTGGCCAGTGGTGTTTCTTGACTGCATGACTCTACCATCCTCCAAATAATATCAGTCCCTTCGACTGTCCCTTACCATACCTGTCACATCACCAGTCCATTCTCTCCACTTACAGAACCCAAGTCTCTCTCCAAGTCCTAGATTCCCTAGCAAGTCACGGGTGGAAAGGCGAGAGCATGAGATTTGGAGCTAGACAGACTCCTAGTCCATCCTGGATCGTTCTGCTGACGATAAAGTCCTTACCCACGGGCTGGCCGTCATTTCCTCGCCCACAGATGTGAGACGCAGACACAGATACCTTCCTGCTTCCAGGATTAAGGGTGACCATGGGACCCATCCCTGATCATCTCACCCTAAAGCGGTCTCCTAGGACACTTGTTTTCCAAACTAGTCAGCAAGCTAAATATGCTTGCTCGTGTCCATTTTATGCAAATTCGTGACTCGAACTGAATCATAAACTCCTGGAGACCAGAAATCACACTTGGCATCCTCGGCGCTCAGCCCGGTACCTTGCACGCAGTAGGTCCTCGGTAAATGTTGGCATCATACCGACTGCCTCTTTCCAGCCCGAGTTCTGCATCTGCCTCCGTGGACGGTGCTGAAGCTCAAGTTCAAAGAGGCCTTAAAGTTGCAGTAATACAATCGAACGCTGCAGTCTCCCACCCAGCACCCGTATGAGCATCCAGGGAGCCTGTGAAAAAATCGAGGCCATATCTCCTATCAGTCTATGACAGCCACTTACCAGCTGCGTGACCTCGGACAAGTTACAAAGTCTCACTGAACCTGCATGTCCTAGCTCACGTGTTACCATGCTTCCGGTCCCACAGAGCCTTCGCACACCTGAATGGCTGGAACATGCAGCAGCTCGGGCTCAGGTCAGCTCACCCTATCCTTTCCCTCCGGGCCACCAAGCTAAGAGTCCCACTGCATGTTGCCGAAAGATCTTCGTCCCTGGTTTCGGGCCTGTGGAGTCTCCTCATCTGTCATATTCCGTGCATGAATAACTTGCAGGCTGGTCCTTCAGAGACCCCGGATGCCCCTTCTTCCTGAGGCTCAGACAACACGTGTCAGATGGGGATCGAGCTCCGGCTGTGTGCCAGGTGGGGGCACTCTCACCGGCCCCGTCCTCGCGCAGCTTATGCTTGGGAGCAGCTCTGTCCCAAAGAAATAAAATGCCAGCCACGTTGATAATATCAAATTTTCTAGGAGTCACATTAAAAAACTAAACAGAAAGAGATGAGGTTTCAATAATCTATTTCACTTAGCCCAAATACATTAAAGATCATTTCAACTTGTAATCAATATAAAAATAATTGACAAGATACTTTACCGTTTTTCGTGCTACGTCTTTGAAATCGAAAGTGATTTTTACACCTTCACCACCTCTCACTTTGCACAGGCCACATTTCAAGTCCCCAACATGTGGCTGGTGGTGTCCTCCCGGACAGCAAGTCTCCATCACGAGCATTACGAGTCGGTTGTCTTGGCGACGCCCAGCAGGCTCGTCTCACTGAGGTCTCGTTCCTGTTCTGTTTTTCTCCAGGGCCAGCTTCTGAGCATCTCGGCCGCCTACGGGGACCTGGAGACCGTCCGGTACCTTCTCACCAACAGACAGGTACGGCTGTCGACAGAGCCCACCGATGACAACCCAGCCGTGGTGGCAGCGCTCTTTGGGCACATGGACGTCGTGCAGGAATTACTCGAGTCTCTGCCAGGTAAACCCAAGGGTGAGAGCTCTTCACCACCTCTCAGGGACCCACCTTTGTCCTAGGAATCAGGCATTGGGGGGGCCGCACCCCAAAATGTGTATTGCTTCACACGTCTGCCAATCCCGAGCTCCACTGGCAACACCACACCCCACATACGGCTCCCTCTCACTCACAGGGTACATCCAAAGAAATGTGGATCTATGTGTTTTTTCAATTAATAGACTTTAACCTTTTAAAACAGTTTTAGCTTTTCAGAAAAATTGATGGGAAATACAGAGAATCCCCATACCCCAGCCCCGCTAACAGTTTCTCTTTTGTGTGAATGTGGTGCATTCGTTACAACTGATGAAACAATTATTGACATCCATACATTATTACTAACTAAATAAAGTCCATAGTTTACGGTTACGTATTCTATGGGTTTTGACAGATGCACGATGACGTGTATCCACCATTACTGTATCGTATGTATCACACAGAACAAGAACCATATCACTGCCCTAAAAATTCTCTGTGTTCCACATATTCATCCCTCCCTCCCCCCAACCTCTGGCAACCACCGATCTTTTTACTATCTTCATAGTTTTGCCTTTTTCCAGAACGACTTACAGTTGGACTCACACAGTGTGCAGCCTTTTCAGACTGACTCTTTCCACCTGGCAATATTCATTTAAAAGGTTCCTCCATATCTTTTCATGGCTCGAGAGCTCGTTTCTTTTGGTCATTCATTACTACGACATTGTCTGGAGGCTGCTCTTTTTGGTAACGTGTGATGTTGCCTTTTTAGTAACAAGGAATGTTTTTCTCTTGGTAGATGCAAGGTGCCCTTTCATTTCCGCGGTGGCCTCAGATCGGCAATGCCATACGAGTCAGGCATCGCTGCAGCTATAGGCTGAGGCATGGCCTTGGCGGTGGTCTTTGAGAATTAGGATTTTGCTTGGGTGCCGGGCGGGCTTCACAAGTGCGAGACAGTGCAGCCACACCGGGCCCCGCATTTAGAAGGTCTCCTCACTTGGTTTAATGCTCTGTAGTCACCATCTTGAAATTTTTAATAATTTCTAAACAGGGGAGCCCAGAAATTACGTAGCAGTCCTGTTGGAGGTGTCCGACCCTGTGCTTTGAAGTCGATTTGCACTCAGAGTTGGTTGTGAGCCGGTGCCCGCCTCTTGTCTGGGGGGTAGAATGAGGTTATGGACAGAAATCAGGACAGCGTTTCAGGGCTAATGGATGCAGACTGGGTCAGCAAGACATAGGAGGGGAGGGGAGCCCATGGCTGACTCCCTCTCTGCAGGATCCCCAAGGGTAGCTCCATTCCAGCCCGAGAGTCTACACCAGCTGACTAATGCACCTGACCGCACAGCCTACACTTAAGGAGCATTTGCAAAGTACTGGCCACTCTACGGTACTTCACAGACACGGAGACTTGTAAAAGGTGGTCCAAGCCCCTCAGTGGCTCCTGGGCAAGCAGGGGAAGTCAAGGCAGAAAGGAGTGACCCTGGGCAGCGTAATCACGCCAAGGCGGGAGTATTCACACAGTGGCCTGCGAGCACTCACCAGGGAACGGGCTCGTCTGCGTGCAAGACGGGGTCCTCAGGGGGAGGGGACACGTGAGCCGGGCTTTGCAGGGTGAATAGGAGTTTTCTTGGGAGATGTCCGCTTTTGCAGAGCAGGGAACTTGGCTGGACCCGGGCACGGTTTTTGGCCGCTCCCAGGGTCATCCCATCATTAACTCAACTCAGGACAGTTGCTGAAGACCGAAAGAGCCCAGGGCGTCACACTGGACCCTGGGGGAAGTGCAAAGCTGGGCAGTCAGTGTGCACCCCCTGGGAATTTGCAAACCGTAGGGGGAGGCAGCCATGGTCTGGAGTAAGGTAAGAGCACACGCTACGCAAGAGGCAGCCGGAGAACGGGGGAGGGGGAGGGAAGAGGAGGAGCGCGGAGATGCCCGGGGCGGGCACGCCGTCGTGTCATCACGAGCATCCTTCCGAGTCCCCATTGCAGAGTTCTCGCTCTCGGCAGCTGAGCAGGGGTGACGAGAGGGAGGAGGACGAAGGGCAGAGCCTAAGGGGGACCCTCTCTGAGTCTCGTGGGCTTGGGCCTCAGAGGGCTTCGTGGGGTCGAGAGCGCACCCCTTGGCTTTAGCTAAAGCAAGGACCAAGTCCTGACTTGGCCATTTACCGACTGCGGGACCTTCAGGGAGCCCCCGAATGTCTCGGAGCTTTAGTTTCTTTGTATTAAAAGTAGGGCTGTGAAAGTAACCTGCCCCCTGAGATGGACACGTTTCCGTCCTCGCCAGCGGTCAGCAGCGGGGCGTCTGGGTTCCTCTGTCCTCGATGTTTAGAGGGAAGGAGTTGGGCATCGTTTCTCTGATCCTCTTTTGAATTGTCGATCTTACTTCTCGGAGGAGGACGAAGAAGAGATGTTTGCTTAGCACCTGCCGCGGCCCAGGCGCTCGGCCGGGTGCCTCATGCGCGGGATTTTAGTTCCTGCCATCTCGGCCTCACCCCTGTGTCCTGGTCCATTTCCCATTGTGGGGGGATGGGTCACTCTCGGTCCTTGGGAGGACATGGTTCCTGGGGACTTTCCACTTCTGGGAACGAGACAGTGTCACGATGCCATTGGGAAGTGTCACCGTGGGAGATGAGATCACTTTCCCACGGCCGCTAGACCCAAAAGACGTTGCAGAGCTTTGAACGTGAAGATACCGCGGCGCTGCGGCCCACGCGTCGCCGCTCACTCAACGCGAGCGCTGGCTCGTCCTTGACTGGAGTGGGTGGCGCTTTCAAGGAGTAGTTCGCAGTTTTAGGTTGTAGAGTGAGATCTGTATCTTTCATCAAAGCTTTTCTTCGACTTATGAAAATAATACGTGAAGATTACAGATAATTGTCAGCAACGCAAACAAGTGTTCACACGCTGAGAACGTAACGACGTAACTTAGTGAGTTACGGCAGCCGCTCGTCACGCGTTATGACGTATCATCCTGGCATGAAACCTGGGAGGGTGGACGTTATTATTCGCATTTGACCGATGGGTAAACTGAGTCAGAGAGAGGTTAAGAAACGCGTCCAAGATTACACGGCTAAAATGTTAACTCTAAACCGTGTGCGTCCCCTGACTGTAAGGATACTCTAGGGACAAGGTCAGGGCGAGGGACAGGGTCGGAGGTGAGGGACGTGTTCAGAGCCCCACTCCCCAGAGGTGACACAGGGACACCTCCTTCTCATCTTCCCTCCACACATTCATTTTTTATTCAGTGACGATCACACCACATGCTGTTTTAAATACCGCTTGTCCTCACTGGGCATTGTTCGATGAACAGGTGCGTTTAAAATGATGTGGGACATGTCATATGCTATTCAAAGGGACTGTTCCAGAAGACACGGTCCATTTGGCGAGCAGCTTTCAGCTGGAAGCCGGACGGCTGGATCCGATGATGGTCAAAGGGGCTGAGATCAGAGTGGGGACGGTCAGTGTCCTGCGGTGACACTGTCCTTTGCCCTCTTCTCTCCCGCCAGGCTCCTGCAGCCCCCAGCGGCTGCTGAACTGGATGCTGGCCCTGGCCTGCCAGCGAGGACACCTGGGGCTGGTGAAGCTCCTGGTGCTGACGCACGGGGCCGACCCCGAGAGCTACGCCGTCAGGAAGAACGAGTTCCCGGTCATCGTGCGCCTCCCGCTCTACGCGGCCATCAAGTCCGGTGGGTCGCCCGTCGGCCCCGCTCGAGATCCTGGGTGTGTTCTGTTCTTTGTCCCTTTTTCAAAATGTCTGCATCTTCCCTCGTTCCCGTCTCCTCACCCTGCCAGAGGGGTTCGCGGACGCATGGGGACCGGTCGCGGCAGGCGGGAGGCGCTCCAAAGGGCAGAGTCCCACACAGATTCTGTCACTCACGGGAGCGTGACACATCGCGGGAAGTCGTAGACAAGTCCGGCCGGCACTTTCTGTTCCCATTTCACCTGTCCGCATCTGCCACTTTGGACAGTTGTGACACGCTCCACATCTCAAGTGCCCTTCGCTTTCCGTTTTCTGTGCCCTAGGGAACGAAGACGTCGCCATATTCCTGCTACGGCACGGAGCCTTCTTCTGCTCCTACATCTTGCTGGACAGCCCTGACTCCAGCAAACGCCTCCTCAGGAAGTACTTCATCGAAGCCAGTGCCTTGCCCGGCAGCTATTCGGGAAAAATGGTGAGTGGCCACCGCCTACAGATAAAGGGACAAGGCAGAGGGGCTGTGTGTACACGCGAAATGGTTTTCGGCCGTGGGAAAGGACGTCTTCCCGCCGTTTGTGACAACAGGGATGGACTCTGAGGGCACTCTGCTGAGAAGGATGTCAGAGAAAGACAAATACTGTATGATCATCTCACTGACATGTGGAATCTAAGAAACTCAAACGCAGAAGCAGAGAGTGGGTGGTTTGCCAGGGCTTGGGACTGGGGTAAATTTATAAATTCAGTTAAAAGACTAATAAGTTCTAGAGATCTAATGCACAGCATTGTTATCGTAATTAATAACACTATCATACGCTTGAAAGTTTCTAAGAGAATAGGTTTTAAATATTCTCACCACACACACACACAAATGGCAATTAAGCGACATGATGCAGACACTGGCTGACGTGTTCGTGGTGATCATCTTGTAATATACGTGTGTTTAATCCACACGTTATACACCTTACATTTGCACAATATTATATGCAGTCATACCTCAATGAAAATGAAAAAAAAAACCATTGTGTTCGTGGTGATCATCTTGTAATCTACGTGTGTTTAATCCACACGTTATACACCTGACATTTGCACAATATTATATGTCAGTCATACCTCAATGAAAATGAAAAAAAAAACCATACACATGATTTAGTTGTACTTTTCCATTTAAATCAAAAAAAAAAACAACAGTATCACGTCACTTACATTATCTTTACCTTGGCTTTTTAAGTTTAGCCGTTTGTTATGGGCTCCCTCAAGCACAGTCAACGTGGCCGCAACTCATTCTTCGACATATGTGCCTTAAATCGGTAGAGTGACTGTAGCTGAGCTGGCTCAGCCCTTGTCCCGTCGGTGGACGTTTGGGTTATTTCTGGGTTTTGCTTCCTTGTGATAGAGCCTGGTTTTCTAGGATATTTGCGTATGTGACTCAAAATCCTAAAGGTGGACTGCTATGGGATCACTTCCTCAAAAAGCTGTGGTGAGTCACAGCTTCACCAGTGACATATGGGAGTTTCTGTCCCCCCGCCATGGCCAACACCAGATATCCAGGAGCCTTTAAACTTCCGCCTGTCCGATGGGTGAACGTGATATCTCGTTGTTTTAATGTCCTCATTTTTCTCATTAATAACGTTGAGCATCTTTTCCTATTTCCATGAGCTGCTTGCATTTCTCCTATATGTGTGTCGCCTATTACTGTTTGTCGATTATTTTTCTAAAAGGTTGTTCATCTTGTCCTTCTCACCTGGGTGGGCCTCTTTGTACCTTAGAGATTTTAAGCCTTCGTTTATCATACATGTTGCCAATATTTTTCCCAATCCGTTAGTTTTCTTTCGTCTGTTATCTTTTGCAAGAACAAAGAAATAAGAATATACGATCGATTATGTCTGTCTCTTCCTTTATGGCGTCTATATTATAGAAGAAGGTCACTTCCACCTCAGTTTTATATAAATAATCTCATTTCTTGTAACATTTTTATTTCTCACGTTTTAAGCTTTGATTTTTCTAATATTTATTTGTGTACGAGGTATGAAGAAGAGAGTCTAGCCTTCATCTCTTCCAGATAGATAGAGAGTTTCTCCGGAACAACTTTTAAAATAAAAAACTTTCTTTTGCCTCTGAGTTGAAATGTCACAATTGTCGTTTACCCCACTTAGACCCGTTTCTATTGTGAAAAGTCTCTGTTCTGGCCCAGCCTATTGATTCTGAGCGATTCCTTTTTTTTTGATTACAGGCATTTGGTTTCAGCCTTACAACCTGTTAACGCGTTTTCTACTCATTATTTGTTTGTTTTACAAAACCCTCTCGACTGCTGTTAGATGTTTACTCTTCTATTTCCTGCATTTCTCATGATGACTTTATTGGTTCTCATTTATGTTCTTTAAACGCTATCGTATCATTGTGTCATTTTCTCCATAAAGGTCCTGAACCCGTTTTGTTTATTTGCCTTTTTTAAATTGTTTTTGCCTCTATTTGAATGGCGTATATATAATTCTTTTTCATTTTCGTCTCTAACCTGTTATTCCCGGTCTGGCGAAAAGCTCTGTTGTTTGTGTTTATCCGGTCCCCTTACCAACTCCTCCTATTAATTCTAATAATTTTTAGGAGAGTTCCTTGAGACTTTTAGGTATGTGACCAAGTCATCGACAAATTCAAAAGAGGTTTGTCCCTTCTTTTCTAAGATTTATATAACTTATTTCACGTCATGTTTGTGTCACTAGACATTTCAAAAGTTGAATAATGATGGTGGTAGCAGAGGTATCTCTCTTGGGCCTGATTCGCTATAGATTTTCGGTAAATGGGCTGTTGTTTCTAGGTCGTTTCTGTATATGCCTTTTTGCTTAGAGCTTTTATTAGGAAAGGTTTCTGAATATCGTCAGATCCCATTGTGGCAGCGATTACTATATCTCTGCAGCTTTTCTACCTTAATTTGTTTATGTAATGAACGCCGACATTGACCCTATCTTTAATTTTTGTAATAAATGCTAATTGGCTTTCTTTCTGTTGCATTCGATCTACTGATATTTTATTTACGATTGTTTTGTGTCTCTATAGCTGAGTCGATCTATAATTTTGTATTTTTCTCATTCTTATGAGGTTTTGGCATAAGGCTATGCTACCTTTCCAAGATGGCTTAGGGAACTTTTCATATTGCTATGGGCTGGAGAAGTTTTCTAGGAAATAATCATTGTTAAAGGTTAATTAGGTAAAAGTTAATCTTTATTTTCTGACGTTTTTTTAAAGTCTGGTCGATTCAGGTTGTCTGCTTTCCCTTATGTGCAGTTCACGAAGTTAAATTTTGGTAGAAAACCATCCATTTCTTTTAGACTTTTTGACACGCCATCGTGGTGTGCGACGTTTGCATTCGGCCTGTGTTCCTTCGCTTCCTTATCTGTAGCTGTGCGTTCCTTTTGTGACGTTGAACGATTTTACTTTGTCTCTTTTGAACTTAATCAGACCAGCCAGGGATGCAGGGGTCCTGTTAAGGAACTCGCTAGATTTCATTTATTCTTCGAAGGTTCATTGTATGTATTTCGTGAATTTTAGCTTTTATCTATACTACGTCTCTCCTCTTTGAGTATGTTATGGCCAGGATTGTGTCTCTGGCGTGAGATCTCCTGGGTCTAATTTGTGCTCCAGGCTTCATTGCTCAGAGACCTCCGTCTGCTTACTCTGCCCGTCTGTGTCTTGGTTTCTTCATCTGAGAAATGGAGCAAGAGAGTACCTGTCTCAGAGGGGCGCTTGGCAATTACACGTGGGAATGTTTGTAACATTCTAATAACAGCGTCTGGCACCTGGTAAGTACCTAATAGATGACAGATGTTAGCCGTTGTCCTCACAGTTTCAGATTTCTTGAGTCGAATATTTATTTCGGGCTCTTTTGGCTTGTTGAATGCATCACTGAAGTTTTTTATGCGCTATTCGTGCTACGTTTTCATCAGAATCTGGAACACACACACATACGTACATATATATGTCTGTATATAAGTACACACATGTGTACTTATATACAGACATATTTGTGTAGCTCTCACGGGATTCCCTGGCTTACGACCCGTGAATACTTATTTTTATTACAACAAAAACTGCTTGATTTTGCTGATGTTTCTACCTTTAAATTGGCTTCACATGGCCACACTCTCTTCCTCTCTGCATCAACCTTGTACGAGTTTTCACAAATCTCTATTCTTAGTTATCCGTTCATTTTTATCTCTTCATCCCAGGTGTATTTCTGCAAACACCATTCCATTTGTAATCCCGTCCAAGAGTGTGTCCTTGAGGCAGCCTCTCCACTCCCACTGTCACGTGGGTTTCTTCCTTCGATCTTTTTGTGTTATCTCTATTGCTATTTCCCCTTATTTTTGCTGGATTCTAGTTTCTAAAGAATATGGATATTCTTCTCCTTCCTGTGATTCGTGACCTCTCTGAGCCTTGGTTCTTTTCCTCAGTTATAAAAGAGGGATAAGTAACTGCCGTAGAGAACAGCCATGGACCTAGCACGGGGCCTGGCACACAGTAAGAGCTCAATAAATATTACTCACATCATCGCCTCACGTTGCAAAAGAAATACTCACTATCTCACGCTTTGTATTTACCTGCTGCTTGGTGTTCCTCCCGGCTCTCTCTTATCAGACTTGGTCTTCACGACACCTGGGTGAGAACTACAGCGAATGTCATCTGTTTTCCAGATGAAAATATTGAGGTTTAGAGACACTTCGTTACTTGTCCAAGGAGAGCAAATACTAAGCAATGAGACTCAGCCAGAACTCGAGTCTCCTGAACTAAGGGCTTTTTCCCATTTCGGGGTCCCTGAGCTGCACCTGCCAGCCCTTGCCTGTCTCAGTGGTGCTCCCACTTTTCTGTCCCTTAGAATTCCTGGGAGCTTTTAAACATCCTGACGCTCAGACCACACCCTCCTCTGAAATCCGGGTCCCTGGGGCTCACCCCGTAGTCGGAAGTTTTAAAACTTCCCCAGGCGATTCCAGCGTGCGCTGAAGGTTGTTCCAAACCCGTGATTTAGATTTTCTCGGCTTAGGGTTGAAAGCAGAAATCGTTGGTATCTGTGACCGTGACCTTTTCTACCGGGTAAACTGCTACGTTTTGCCAAGCGAGGCACAGAGCGTGGGAGTGATTCTCACATTCTGCGAACGAACAAGAAGACGAAGAAAAGACAATGTTGCTTTTCTTGTCCTTGGCCCTTTTGGGTAGAATCGGGAGAGAAAATGAAATTCCAGCGCAAGCTTGAGTCATAAGGACGCTTTGGGCTTCCCCAAAACAGGTGGTTTTGGGTTTTTTTTGGTTTTTTTTTTTTTTTCAATTCAAGTGAATTTCAAAGGCAAGCGCCTTGCAGCGGGCGTGTCTGGTGTCTGGCTGCCCTCGGCCTCTGACCTGTGACAGCACATTCGCTCTGTGCTGCTGGCAGAGAGAGGAGCTGAGTCCGGAGGGATCCAGCCATGGCTCAGGAACCACAGGTAAGTC